TATCGATTATTTTTACGTACATAACAATTAACAATATTAATTAAATACATTTATCAATTTCAATAATTTCCGAACAACTCTTTTCCGCTTACACTTTTTCAAAGTGACTTCCGCCGCTGAATCTTTCGCTTTGAAAAGTGTTGCTGGCTCTAATAACTCTTCCCTAATTCAACAGAGTTACCGGAAATCAGTAGCAGATGTTTGCTCCCTACCAACCATTTCTGCTTTTCGCTTAAAGAAAATTTGTCAGATGTGGCAATATTAACTGCTGACTTTCATCATCGCCTAAATTTACTACATTTTTGTATATATTCACACAGTGTTTTATAATTTATACCAAAATTGCTTCGCCATTTAAGAAATTTTGGGGCACCTGCACTGGGTTTTTAGGAATATTTCATAAGCAGTTGCGAGTAGCTATAATGGATACGGAACCTTTAGACCCGATGGATATATTGGCCTATACTACAGAGGAATTGCAAGGGCGTTTTCGTCGTGCCAAAGATGACACAGAGAAGGCTAAAGTGTTTGCTGATTTCCTATGTCGTTGGGATGCAGACGCAGCGCTAGCACCTGTGAAAAATATGAAGATCGAATTTCAAGAAGGTTTTTCACAAATTTTTTGCTTAATTTTCATAAATGAATTGCATAAATATTCATAGATCTCGATTGGTTCAATGTTACACGGCCGTTACCTTTGAAGTCGTTGCATGGCAAGTTGGTTGTGCTCGATTTCTTTACCTACTGCTGCATCAATTGTATGCACATTTTACCAGAGCTACATTCGCTCGAAGAACTCTATCCACCAGAAAGGGGCCTCGTTGTGATCGGTGTGCATAGCCCGAAATTCGAAAATGAAAAAGATGGTGCGAACATACTGTCGGCGGTACAACGTTACGGCATAACACACCCCATCGTAAACGATGCGCACATGACATTATGGCGAGCTATTGGTATACGTTGCTGGCCATCACTGCTTGTGCTGAGTCCAAGCGGTGCACCAATGTTGCTACTAATGGGTGAAGGACATGGCACATTTCTGCAAAGCTTTACCGAGCAGGCGCTACATCATTACAAAGCAAAGGGTGAAATCGATAACTCCACACTGCCACTCAAATTGTCCACCGATGCGGTGCCAGCATCAAACTTACGTTTTCCAGCAAAAATTGCGCGTAGTGAGAATGGACAATTTGCTGTTGCGGATGCCGGCAATCATCGTGTTTTAATTTTCGATAGCGCAGGTGTAGTGCGTCAACGCATAGGTGGGTGCACGGCTGGTTTCGTTGATGGCGATTTTGCGAGCGCTCGTTTTAACTCACCACAAGGTCTGGATTTTCTTGATGATGATGTTTTAATTGTCGCTGACACAGAGAATCATGCTTTGCGCCAAATAACGCTGAGTGCGCGTCGTGTCGAAACGCTCGCCGGTACTGGACAACAGGGCAATGATCGTGTAGGCGGTAAATTGGGTCCGTTGCAAGCCATTTCATCGCCTTGGGATATAGCTGCGTTCCGTATGCGCGACATGGATATGTCATTCCATTTGGATGAAGGTAATGTTCCTGAAAAAGCGATTGTTTTAGTCGCTATGGCTGGCACTCATCAAATTTGGGGTTACTTTCCGGAGGGTATCATTTGGTGGAAATACCGGCAGTTAGATCCACGTGCATGTGTAGCAATTATCGGTAATGGCATGGAGGAGAATCGTAATAATTCATATCCACAAAATGCCGCATTCGCACAACCCTCTGGCTTGGCTTTGGGCAAGAATTTTCTCTACATTGCGGACAGTGAGAGTTCCAGCATACGTAAAGTGTCGATGGTGGACGGCAAAGTAATGCCGGTTGTGGGCGGCGACCGTAATCCATTAGTAAGTGGAAAATATTTTACTAATCGAAATTTTATATTTATTTATCATTTGTATTGTAGAATTTATTTGCTTTCGGTGACATCGATGGCAAACAGTACAATGCAAAACTACAACATCCGCTTGCTGTCACCTATAATAGTGTATCGGATAAAATATTTGTCGCGGACACCTACAATCACAAAATCAAAGTAATAGAGACCGCCACAAGTTGTATAGAAACGCTGTTGATTAAGGACGAAAGTGGCGTGCCATTACAATTCAATGAACCCGCGGGCTTGTGTTTCGACGCCAGTGGTCAATTGCTTTACATCGCTGACACTAATAATCACCGCATACAATTGGTGGATATGAAAACACTTATCGCAAAAACCTTCAAGCTAGACTTCAATACAATTACAGCCAACACAAATAACACGGAAACCGATTCAGCGCTTAGCAGCGGCTTGCAACTGCTCAAAAGCGTGCCATTACACGCCTGTGTACAATTGAAGTTGCGTGTAAATATAAATTTAAATAAAGAATTGAAGTTCACCGAAGCGGCACCGCAACGTTGGACACTAAAAAGTGCTACACCAGGTTTGAAAGCGTCTGCGACTTCAGGCCAAATAACTAATGGTGTAATGAATTTACAACTTGATCGCAATGCCGCTTTGCTGCCGGCAGAGGAAGAGGTTAAGTTGGATCTTGCGCTAAGCTTATGTGATGCCAAAAGTTGTCTTATGAAGCGTTTTGCATTAGTGCTGAAAGATAACAACGCTGATGCTGACACGCCACTTGATAAAGCGTGCGTACTCGATGAAAACATAAATATTGAAATTACGCCAAATGAGATTGTTATTAGTTAGTTAAGTTTAAGAATAAACTTTTGTACATTTGTTACTATAAATTTGTATAGAAATCGTTGTGCGTCGTGTTGTTCACTTGCAAATTATATAAATGCGCGTATATGTGTATTAAAGTGACTAATTTTGTAAAAATGTAATATTAGCACTACAAAGACTTTAGACGCTTTTATAATTGCAAATAAAGTGTGTACTTAAAAGGAATAGTGTGCGCAGTGTAATTTTTTGTACCACCAAATGCGATATATATAATATACCATATACAGTAAATATAGTGCATATACATACTCACAGTGCAATTTAGGTACTCGTCATCACAAAACAAAACAAAAATCTGTTACATACTTGAGATAATTTTGTTACCATAACTACTATACATATCAATGTGACATTTCCTAGTGACTGATTTGTTATAATTACTTATATTTTTAAGATTTTTTCTTTAATCAGACAAAATGCGTTAGGTAGATTTAGGCATTTGGCAAGCAAATGTTTGTACAGATGTATTTACAACAATAATGATGATTTTACAAACGCCACAATAAAAAGTAAGTTATATCGTTTGAAAGTTGTTAAAAAAATACATGGTTTACATTTTGTGCTTACTTCATAAATACTTTGTAAATACATATATGTATATAAAGTTTTAGCTTAATTTAAAAATTTCATACTGTAAAATATTCAACATGATAAGTTTTAAAAAAAAATGCATTTGTTACGAACTACACGCAAGTGGATGACTTGTTGTTCATATGTGCTGTGTTGCTTGTTTCATACATATCTTTTGGTATTTGGCAAACTTCCAACGTTCATTCTATGTAACGCAATATTCTTTGACTTTCTGTGGATCGCCAATTATTCTGCATACTTCACCCAACAAGTCTTTTAAAATGGCTGGCTGACGATGTTGATCACCATCCAGTGTAATAGTGGGTATAAAACTAACTGGCGGTCGCAGTGCATGCGTGGCGTCGCCGTTAAGCTTTAGCAATTCACCAGCATGATCACTGCTGAAGCACTTTTGTATGAGATCAGTGTCTTCAACACTATTTTGGCGGGCACACTGTAAGAAAATGTTACATAAATGAAGTTATGGGAAAAAAGCTACTGTAAATATGGTACATAAAAAATTGTAGTGACACACAATATATTCAATATACATGTATTCCTTTGTTGTGCACAGACGATTGCAAATAAGATATAGCAGCTGGTGTGAAGTTAGCGTGTGAATGTCATTCATTCATTCATTGTTTTGTTTTATGTGAATATATTTGTATGCCTTCTTATAAAATAACATGGTATATATTTGCGCCTGTACTAACAAAGCTATAGGTGCCAGGTGACATAAGTTAAATGTAAATTACAAAAAATATAGTAATATAATTTTATATATTCTTACCTTCAGCATAGCCTCCTTAGGATTTCGATTATCACGTATCATACATGCAACCATATTGAGACGAGTTTGTGGGTTTTCAATGGCCTCAATCACACAGGCATGATACATGTTACCCTCGCATTCGACATGGCCATGTTGGCATTCAAAACGATAACTACCATCGGTATTGATAAATGTTTGTGCCTTGCCATATGGTATCAATTCTATATCCATAAGTGGCGCAGCTTGTCTAAAAGCCGGTAGTAATTGTTTGATTATGAAATGTTTTGAATCACCACATAATGCTTCATAGTACACAGACACCAACACGGGCGCGCCGGGTGAGCGTTTGGGCTCTGGTGGTGGCTGTTAGTTTTAATGAGGCGGAAATAATTTATATATATTGTATGGTTATGTATATATACTTACAGCCAGTATGGCACCATGGAAAAGCAAATAGCGGATAAAGAAGAACACAGCCACAAGTGTAAACACAATTATCAAACGTTTATGCGCTGCCGACACCATTATTAGTTATCGATGTGCCTATTCCAACTATATCAACGTGATTAATAAAATACTTAAAATATTTGTTTCATTCGGCTTTCCGTGATTTTATTGTTAGATAAACATTTTCACATATGATAAGCTATTGATGTAGCTAAGTAATGGTAGTAGTGTTGTACGATCGGACTAGAAATAAATTGCCAATTTCCGACAATCACCCTTATCGGACACGATGCGAACTTAATTGAATTCACAACTTTTACTTTTTTTTGTTTAAAACTGCAATGTTACACAAAAAACAAAAAGTTTAAAAATGTAAGCAAATTGTAATTCGAAAGAAAATCAACAATCAGCTGAGATTGAGATTTACGAATTCGCCGCTGTGCTGCCACATGCACAAATCGCGATATTTTCAATAAGCCATGAAACGTTTTAAATAATTCGCAATTTTACAACAATTGCGCGTTTTATTTGAAAAAAAAATCTTTTTAACGTTGTGGTTTATCTTTTACAATCATATAAGCTCAACATTTGTTCATAACGCTTAAAAAGGATGTTCAGCCTTTATTCTCTTTCAGCGTATGTTCAGTGTCACATTACTTCGATTTGACATTTGACAAGGTTGGAATTTGATTTAATACAATTTCAATGTGCTTTTAGCTAATATTTAAAATTTAATGTAGATTTTATGATATAAAGATGGCAAAAAGACTGCAAGAATATGTGAAATATAGCATAAAGGAGTTGGAATCCTATACGAAGCAAGGAGGTTCCTGTGTACGTAAAATAAATTCTAATTTACATATATCATTAGGTCCATATTGCCTGGCCGATTTTAAACATGCGCTCAGTGCTCATATAATGCGACGGAAAGTTGGCTACTATGATGCCAGTCTCGAAGGCATTGTCCTGGATATAAAGAATATAAAAGTGTTGAGCAAGTCAGCTGCATTGCGAGCAGATGATCCACGTATACATGTTGACGTGAACGCCGACTGCTATGTGTTTTGTCCAACCGCTGGTGCGATATTGAGCGGTGTGGTGAAGCACATTGGTAACCATCATATCGGCGTGATCATTTACAGAGTTTTCAATGTGAGCATTAGGTTTGCAGCAAAGCTCAATAAGGAACAGTTTAAAATGGATGACACGGTGCAATTTCGTATAAAAAATTTCAATTTACAAAATGTCTTCCCGTACATTGAAGGCGATCTTGTGACAGCTAGTGGCGATAAAATTACGGTAAGGGGAAAATTTCTTTCTATAATACTTTGCAGATGTTTATATAAATTAAAAATTTGTCATTTGCAGGATAAATTTATAAAAGTTGAACCTGAAAGTGCTGATAGCAACATAGATTCCGGCATTGAGACGCGCGATAATCAGGAGCTGGACGAATTAGTTAACCTAATCAAGCAAGAAAAAAAATCGGGAGAGGAATGCACTCCAACAAAAGCAAACAAGAAAAAAGATAAAGTCAATGTCAGTAAAAGAAAGCGAAAAGCTAGCGAGAGTGCGGTGCAAATAACCGAACCAACACCTATTAAAAAGGAGCCTTCATCAGAGAAGAAGAAACGTAAGCATGCCAAGAGTGAAGAACTAGAAGCTACTAACAATGACAAAGCTACAGTGAAAAGTAAAACGAAAAAGACAAATGTTGAATTATTAAATGCAACACAAATTAAAAAGGAAGAAATAGACGAATTGTTTACAACGCCTACCAAGAAACGCAAGTCGAAAACGAATAGTATATCACTTAATAGTAGCTAGTGACTTATAGTGTGTCGTTTTGAGTTTGTTCAAAGTCTCAAATTATTTTGCGGCTGTAATCAATTTTTTGGAAGATTTTTAAAATAAAAAACAGCTAGTGTTCAGTTAATAGTGTTTAAGAGGAGAACGATTGGCATTTGAAAAGAGTCTACAGAGTAGCATAAAATCAATTGTTTGGAGATTTTTAAAGTAAAAACAACGTAAAAAGTTGATAAGCAAATTTTGTTTGAAAATTTAGTTATATAGTATAACTGTAAATTGGACCGCAATCCTGAACACATTTACGTTTTGCGCTAATATAATAGCCAACGTGCAAATGTACCAAAGTATATCTTGTATATTTGACAGTTGATATACCTACTTATTATTTATAAGTATGCAGTACATTTAAGTTTAAATAAGCTATTTTGTAAATTAGCACTAATAAAATGAAGAAATTTTAAATGAAAAAAATGCAAACAAATTTCAATTGCGCTTATGTACATATGTATATAAATATCTCTGCGTCAGCTTATTTGCTTTTATGGAAACTTTTCTCTAAAATGAAAAAAGTAAAAGAAGTAAAACACAAAATTATTTGGGAGTTTTCTACAGATATAACAGCATTTATGTGTTGTGCGTTTGTTAAATTTCCCCTAGTTGTCGGTGATATATCTTACTAAAATATTACTGTTGAGAATATTACAATGATCACATTGTGATAACTATTCAAGAAATCGGTCACCACCATTAAAGAAACCGTTCCCAGGACAACCGTGTAAAAGAAACCGGAACGAACCCTGATTTTTATCTGGGCAACGACTGTCCACTCGGCACCATTTCTCGAAATTACTTCAAGAATGTGCCACTAAAACAACAACAAGCCAGTTCAAACCATTCTTTGAAGACAATATAACAACTATGAGAGCTTTAATTTTTTATTATACTTCTAAGATTTGTTAACTCGAGAATATTTTAGTGTTATCTGTTTGTTTTTGGTTCGCACGAACTTTGTAACATCCAGAAGAACACGTCGAAGAATCTATAAAGTATAAATACAAACGATAAGCATGGTGGCTGAGTTAACTTTGCCATGTCCGTATGTCTCTCTGTATGTATACGAACTAGTTTCTCAGTTTTTGAGATATCAATTTTGCAGGCGATCTTTTCTTCCCAAGTAGCTGCTCATTTGTTGGAATCGCCGATATCGGACCACTATAGCATATAGCCGCCCTTTAAACTAAACGTTCACTATCAATTACTTGTATGGATAACTTTTTTATTTGACAAGATATCTTCGCAAAATTCAGCATAGATTATTTTATTATTATTGTCCAAGACAGCGCTACAATATCAACGAACAAAATCATGTCCTTGTATGGAAAATTTATTTATTTGACAAGATATCTTCGCAAAATTCAGCATAGATTATTGTCCAAGGCAAGGCTACCAACTCCTAACATATTATTGAGATCAGATTACTATAGCATATAATTGTCATACACACTGACCGATCAAAATCAAGTTAAAGATCTTTTTATACGCTTTACTGCCATAAGAAATGTATTTGTGATGCATATTAAAGCTTCGGTGCAGCTGAATTTAGCTTTGTTTTGTATTTAGGTTAGTTAGTATATTTTCATCTTTTCACCATAAAATAATAGCACGTTTTAATTTTGTCCAACAATAAATATAAATTTATTAGTACTAAAAAAGAATTTGATTCTTAAATTACATTTTACATTCATATAGTCACCATACAATATATTATACAATAAATAATTATTTTTTTTACTGTTTTTATTTTTATTTTAATACGCACAAATATGCGTATTGTATCTGAAATTTTTCTAAATATATAATATATATAATACGTAAATACAATATAATTTACAGCAGAATATGTTAGGTTTCAATTTGCTAAATAAAAAGCCAGTTAGACGTATTTTGGGCGTCACCAAAAAGCGAACGCGAAAATCAGGTTAACTTTTCGGAAGTATAGAATATAGTAATATTTCGTATAAATCATGTCGCAGTTAAAATAACTGCACATGTGCCGGAACTATTTATTTGCTAAGTTAACTGTAAAGCAATAATGTTATTAAAAACAGAAATAAATTTGAATAATAAGAAAGGGTTTTGCTAAACTAATAGCAAAAGAAAGCTAAAAAAAAAATCAAAATAAATGTTTGTAGAATAGCTAGTACATTGTACGATATTCATTTATAGTATTCATTAGTAATTGTATGCATACCTACATAAGTATTCGTATTTGAGTAAGACTAAACCGAAATCTCTTGAATATGTACACGTTTCTTGCCGCTCGTCGACGAAACCGTATTTGAGCCCGACGAACGCAAGATGCCACCTTGTTGTTGTTGCTGTTGCTGCTGCTGTTGTTGTTGTTGTTGTAGATGTGCGCTTTGAAATGAACGTGGCGGTGGTGGCGGTTCCGGTATATCATCATCCAAATCATTGACAATCTCATCGGTGGACACTTTGACAGCATTCTCGATTTCTTTAAACGACAACTGATCCGACGATTGCACAGCATAATCGAATTGCATTGACGTCTGACTGCCGCTGGCCATGAACGAGCTACGTCTGCTCGGCATTAGCGCCGATTCGAGCACCGCTATGCCGGGTGCCAATGGCATTTGGGTGCTATATGTAGCCATTTCGATATTACTAATTCCTTGTAGTTGCTGCATATCAGCCGCCGCTTCCTTGCTGCCACTGTAGCTGGCCGCCTCAAAAGCGCTGTGATGCTTCGTTTTCAGCAAGTCCAAGGTACTGCTCGAGCCGCCGCTGCCCTGCCAATTATATTCCATATGTGCGGTTGTTTGCGTGGGCGGCAGCTCGACCAGCAATTTCTCATCCTTACCGCATCCTTTCGGCGGCTTCTCATCGTAGTAATTGTATTCGCCGAAAACGACTGTACTCTTGCCACTGGTGAGCGCATCAAAGCGCATGCTGTCATCATCGTCGGCCAGCGTATTCAACTTTAGTATGCTAGCAGTTTTGCTGGTCTCATTTGTGTCTTGTAGTTCCTCTTTGGTTTTTGCGTCTCGTGCACGCTTTTCACGCTGATGATAAATGCCGGCGAAGATGAGTATGTTTAGTGTGAGCAGAAAGCAACCGACGGCGACGGTGGCCACTAGCGCCGTGGTGTAGCTGGGGAATTGTTTGCCGCTAAGTCGTCGGAACATTTCCAAATTGCCGATGATTCCGGTGGAGGCGGTGGCAAGATCCTTTTGTTGACCACCATTCTCTAACATGGAGCGATTGTCTGTTGCGGCAGGCTGCTGGGTGGAAGCGCTGTCGCCAATATTCGCATATATCGCGCCATCAGGGTTGCATTCTGTGGATTGTAGCGAGAGGATTGTGAAAATAAGAAGATGCAATCACTTTGGAAGACATTCTTTGGTATAATAAAAAGATCATGCCGGTCACATAAACTATACTATCTTGGAGGCGCTCAATATTTTCAAGATAATGGAGTTTTCGGAACAAAGCAAATTGATGCCAGACCAGTGCTGTCACAAATTTGTGTATAGGACTACTAGATACGATTAGGTTTAGGTAAAATTATAGAAAAAATGTTATTTTCGAATATCGGACGTCTTTCTCCAGACCATATTCCACCTCTTAGTGTATGTCAATTCAAAAATATTATCAGTCGTTTGGAGGCTATTTAGAATGTACAGAAACTGGCCAGACATCAAGATGGCTCCTACAAATTGACATATATACAATACTAGGAATCTTAACATAGCAACATGTTGAACTGGGTGTAAGGAAGAAGATGGACAGAAAGCAGACCCGCTCTCAGTATTGTCTGTTTGGAATCGATGTGGGAACAGGACGGACAGAAAGAGAAGATCCGCTCTATGTATAGTCAGGTTGGATCCGGTTTATATTCGGTCAAGGATTGTTATCTAAGCATCATTTTTTTAAAAGTATTCATTTAATGAAGCTCAACACTTCTGCACAAAATAGTTTTTTGTTCGATATGGATTGATATAGACCCGAGTTCAGTGCAGTTTTGAAGTATTTAAGAGTTTTTTCCGTTATCTAATGCTATTGTTGTAGTTGTAGAAAATATTTCTCAAATAATTGTGAGGATTGTTGTCCAGTTGACAAATTTTGCTCGGATAATATATAGTGTTCATTTCGGTAACCTAGATATGTCTGCCGTAGGAACGTGTTTCTATTATCCAAACGTTTTACATGATTATAATGCCAGTGTGGACAATAGTAATTTCTTGGATATAATATGTGTATTTCTCGGTCTAGTTTGGAACGTTGGACTGGATCACTTTGCAGGCTTTAAGCTCTCTGCCAACCTTTATTGCTCTTTTGTAACTTTAAATTAGCTAAGAGCGCGACAAAGAATATGGTGTAGAAAGACAGAAAACGTAAGAGATATAGAAGGCACTGCGACGAGAAACCGGTAAACTAATGGTAGACGAGAAAGCGGTACTAAACGTTTGCTCGCGGAGTATTGGACTTATTATACGTTTGTATATAGTGAAAGTGACTCTGAGAAAACTATTAAATATTGAATTCCATGATAATTGGTTTAATTTGGTCTTTGGAATAATTATAACCTGAACAGGGTATACTAAGCTTGCCACGAAGTTTGTAATGCCTCGAACAAAACGTCGGAGTTCTTATAATATATTATATATACACATAATATATAACTGATCATCGTGAGCAGGAAAGTCTACTTAGACATGCCTGTCGGTCTATACGGAAATATATATATAGATCTGAAATTTTGCACAAGTTCTTTTCTTCTCAAGCAGCTGCTAATTTGTCGGAACCGCCGATATCGCATCACTATGAGATATAGCTGCCATACAAACTGATCGATGAAAACCAAGTCATTTTATGGACAGCTTTTTTATTTGGCAAATTATGTTAACTTTCACATAGATTATTGTGTCAGGCTAAGCTACAAACTAAAAACAAATTGTTGGGATCGAGCCACTATAGCGTATAGCTGCCGTAAAAACTGATCGTTCAAAATCAAGTTCTTGTATGGAAAACTTTTTTATTTGACAAGTTATCTTTCAGAAATTTCTTATAGATTATTGTCCAAGGCAAGGCTACAAACTCCTAACATATTGTTGAGGTCAGATTACTATAGCATATAGCTGTCATATTTTTTTTGTTTAAGTAGAGAAATGATCGTAAACGAGAGTAAGTATCAGTAGTAGACGAGCTACTTGTATTACCTGTTGTTGTAGCGCCGATCAAAGTATTAACGCCAGTTTTAGTGTTATTACTCACAGCCTTGGTGGCTGTTGTAGATTTTGGCGTCTTCACGACAACGGTATCCTCATCATCCGGCGGCTTCGTTTGCAATTGTGGACGCACGACACCTGTGTGGGAAGGAATTTATTTGCTTTGTTTAGTTAATTATTTACACACACGATTGCTATATTTTACCTTCGTACAAATCACGATTACTAATATCCTCAGAAAACTGATGATGGCGCATGGACTGATCATTGATATTGGAATGCTTGTGCAGTTGTGGTATCAAATTCAACCACATGGACAATTTGTGACCGCGATAATGACTCTGCACCTCGGCCTTATTACCTGTAAACATTTCGGAAATAAAGAAAATACAGTTATTGCTATTACCCTCACAAAGCATGCTACTTCAAAGCGTCTTACCCAATTCCAAGTAGAGTTGATTCACCACATCGTAGGCATCCCAGAAGGGTAAATGCTCACCACGTCCAAGACTTGGCTCGTCAGCGGCAAATCTTAATGCCACGTTGAGTAATTCATTCGATTCGTTGTTATTATTATTGTTGTTGTTGTTGTGCATATGTCGTTTGTAGTAAGCGCGTCGTTCACGCATCGCGCCGCTACGCCGTTGATTATAGATAAGCGCCAAATTTATCGCGCCGCTCGTGTCTAGCAAACTGCCATGTTGCAGGCCGAGTTGATGTGGTATGGTGAGATTGAAAAACTTGTTGACCGCATTTAGTGTTTTCAGTGAGGCGCGTTTCACTTTGCCATGGTCGAGTTGTGCAGTGACGTATCCCGGTGATCGGGATGCTGATGCAGCTATGGATGGTGTGTCTAAACCTGAATGATTTGGATTGCTGAAAGAATGGGTGATGGAGGTGATTAGTATTTGTGCTGTGTAAACGTGGCGTATGAGTAATATTTAAAAGAATACAATTGTAGTACATGGCGTATGAGTAACATAAAATGAATAATGTATAGTCAGTGAAGTTCGAACGGGTGAACGTAATATTATACTTTTTAAACATAAAAAATAGTTTAAATCAAAATAATAAAAAAGATGAAACACGGGTGATAAAAAATGATGTCTTTATTTTAGAGGTTCTCTACATTTTTTATCCCATTTATGTATGCAAGTTAGAATTTAAGGTTAAGTTCTTAATTTGGTCAAAAGTTTTGAACTTTTTCTGTACAAGTTAAATCATGTTATGCGGTATTCAAAATAATAAAATGCAATTTAAAATTATTTACGGCAAAATTTTTTTGAATTATTTATTCAAAAAAAATATTTTTTTTTATATACAGTCATATGATTTTTTAAAGGCTTTAATATAGCTAGAACCATTTTAATATTTTAAAACATTTGTCAGACTTTCATAACTTTTTTCAGGTAATAGAGGCCACAAATGTACTCAAATGTTGTTGACTTGGCTACTTATAAACAAAGGTTGTGGACTTGACTAAATGTACCCAACAGGTGTCATTAACCCTATAAAATGTAAAGGGGTGATTGACTTCAGCAAAATGTAAAAAAGGGGTCAGTGACCTCAAATGTAAACAAAGGTTGTTGACTTGGCTAAATGTAAAAACGTTGTGGACTTGGCTAAATGTAAACAAAAAGTTCATTGACCTCATAAAATGTAAACAAAGAGGTCTTTGATCTCATAAAATGTAAACAAAAGGGTCATTGACTCCAAATGTAAAGAAAGGTTGTTGACTTGGCTAAATGTAAACAAAAATTGTGGACTTGGCTAAATGAAAACTGACCTTATCAAATGAAATGAAGAGTTTGGCTTTGGAAAAATGTAAATTAAAGGGTCATTGACCTCATTAAATGTAAACAAACGGCTCATTAACCTGTGAAAAATGTAAACAAAAGGGTCACTGACCTTATTTAATGTGAACAAAGGTTATGTGTGAATTTTTAACTCAATAATTGAATCATTAATCTCGCCATTAATCACATGCACACATTTAATACCATATGATCAAATTTGACCCGGACTGACAAAAAAAAATACATCTTTACATATTTTAAAACAAATCCGTTTTCTATGCACTTGGGGATAATGTTGTACCAATCTGTGTGAATGAACTAGTTCACGTAAAATTTATTCATATCGTGTAATATTTGTTATATTTGATTCTCAGCTTGCTTACCCCGTTTTCGCAAAATTCGCGAGATAGCGCAGCATAAGGCGACTAATCTGTTTCTCCTGAGTTGTATAATTGTGCGGGAATAGTGGTGAAATGGGTAATCCTAACCAAAAAGGCACATCTTCACCACGAACGGAACCGGTTCGCTAATGGAGAGATAAAATATTGTTAAAGAAATATGATATTTTAGTAAACAGAAAGTAAGTATTTTGAAGTTTGATATGAAAAATGCAATAAGTTTAGTAGGAAAAAAATCATTTAAACTCGATTATATGTTGAAAAGGAGAGACAGAGCTCTGTATGTAAGCTTAGAAATCGTTAATATTAAAATTTTAAAATATTTGAAAATGTATTTCGAGAAAAAAAACATTGAATAGTTTTCTACTTTCACTCTTTATCCACTTATTATACTTTCCTTGTCAATACTTGATTTACTGAATTTTGTCACCAGGGCTACATATTAGTGAGTTGCCACCAGGTTTGCGATTTTTTTTCAAAAATGTTTGACTTAACATTACATTTTAAATATTTAATTCCGTTTTTGGAATTAAAAACTATATTAACAAATTTTAAATTCTTGGATCATAATTTAAAATTGAAAAAATTATAAAAAAATTATTTTTAATTTTTCGATCCGTTATTTGGGATTACAAATTTATAAATTTGTAATTTATACAATTACGGGATTACAAAAAAAAACTATTTCAAACGGTAATTAAAATATTTTTGAATGCATTATTTGCCACCCTGCTTGCCACTTACCTGCGGATACTCCTCTTCAACTGTTCTATGCTTAAAATGTATAAAATAACTGCGACCACCACGTAAGCTATGCATATAGCCTAGTTTAATCAGCGCTGCCGCGGTATGCCCATCACTCAAAAAGGAGAGAGTAGCATCACGTGAGCTTAGGGGACTGCGTATAGCCTTCTCCCAATCGGTGTATTCATTCTGGAAACAAAAAATATAAAAAAATTGTAAAAAGATATATAAAAATAATAAAAACAAAAATAAATTTTCTTTAACTTTGAATTATCGAAAAAAGATATACCTTTTAGAAAGAACTAAAACTCTAACTTTAATACATGGCTTATAACGGTTTTATTTTCTGCCCACTCACCTTTAACACAGCAAATATTTCATTTAAATGATAATGAAAATTATTACGAACAAATGTTCTTAGTATACGATCACGTCGTGTTTCGTTAAAACCAAATTCCAAATCTTGTGCACTCAAATCCAGATACGATTCCACTGAGGTAAGGCAAAAAATGAGGTCGCGTTTTGGAAAGTTTGCAAATTCAATTCCTGATGTACTATTGGTGGAGAGAAAAAGGAAACAGTTAAAATGCACAAAATGAAATTTTTTTGAAAATTAAAAAACTATATTTAAATACACAATAAGTAGTTTATAACAAATGATGTTGGTTTGAAAGATCAAAAAAGTAGAATAAAGCTATTTTTAAAATTGTGTAAATTTGCAATTCACAAATATTGAAATTATTTCGTTTTCGAAAATTAAAAAGATTTATATATAGTCATATATAAAAAAGTGGTTATAAAAAACCTTGAAAACTATTTTCGAAATTCGAAAATTTCTATATAAATTCGAATTCAAAACCGTTTTCGAGTATTGTTTTGTCAATTGAAATTGTTAAAATTTTACAATGTTTTATAAACTCTAACTTTTGGGCCTCAATCAAAGACCAAAATGATTCGAATTTGATCAAAAATCTATATACTTTTAATTTTAAAACGGTATTTAGGAAGAATTTAAAATATAAATTTTATTCTAGTGAACTTGTTAAAATTTATTATTTTTATTTAAAAAAATAATTTTTAAAATTCGATCCTAATTTAAAATTTTAATGTTATTTTAATATTAATTTTTTGGTTTTTATTGTTTTTGAATAAATAATATATACCACATTTTAAGAATAAATTTGAAATTTCTATTTAAGATTTATAAACTTTTTATAGAAATTTAGAATTTTATCGGTTATAATATACTTGGAAGTTATTTTTTAAATTTCAAATTATTGCTTTTATTTTAGTAAAAAAAAAAAATTGGGAATTTAAATTTGTAAATATTTAATTTCTTATTTCCCAAATTTAATTTACAATTTTGTCGAATCCGTGTTGCTAATTAAACGATAATCAATAAAAAAAAACATTATTTTCATGTTTACCGCTAGGAGTTATATGATGTTTTTGAGATATTGTTGAAGTGTAGTTATACAATTTGCATTACTATTTTCCTACTTTGAAAACTATTTTGTTTTTCGAATAAAAAACTTTGCAATATTCAAATAATATTTCTAATATTTTTTATTAAAAATATTATTTAACGCATGTTATCATAATAATTTGAGACTCGAACTAAAATTTTACTATTTTTAACTATAACACATTTTTTTTTGAAAATTCTTCGAACCATACTTATAAACATATATTTGACGCATATAGTTACCTAACAATAGCAGAACCTAAAGGCAGCGATAATTCTCCAATTGGATCGGTATTTGGCGATATGACTGTGCCATCGATGAAAGGCGCAAAGCCACTCAAAAATCTGTACGAAAAATATTTTTTATTTCTCAAATATCTTTACTTTACAATAAAAAACATCAAACTCACCGCGGATGATCGATTTTGACAGCTAAGAGCTCGGCAATGGGTTTGGTGCGCAGACAAGGCGCTAAATCATCATACAACATATCACCATGGCAACCAGTTTGTTCGGCAACACGACGCTTCACGAATAACGGATTCTTTTGTATGGCCCACGGTGAGAGCGCAGAGCCGCTAACCAGCACTGCGCGTTGTATAAGATCTACAAATAAGAAATTTTAATTTATTATATTTTAAATCGGAAACATTTATAAAGCACATACCGCTTGCCACGGGCGAGACCATCAATATATTGGCTAATGCTGCGCCTGTGCTATGTCCAAGCAATGTTATGCGCTGTGGATCACCACCGAAAGCAGGCAGATTTTCCTTTAGCCAATGCAAACCAGCTACGAGATCCATTAAGCCGAAATTGCCTTGAGCGCTCTCTTTTCCACCCGTTTTGAGAAAACCAAATATGCCGAGTCGAAAGTTTATCGTCACAACGACAATATTACCATGCGCCGCTAATTCCGAACCATCGTATGGGTTACCCGAATTCCATTCATACGATTCGCCATGTAGAAGTAGTACGGTGGCGAGTAGGGTTGATGGAGGATCGTGCGTATGCTCCATGCTGTTGCTGCTAGTGGAGCCTGTAGAATGGGATGTTAATCTTAATTATAGAATTTGTTTTTTATTTTTGATGCATTTTTTTCAAGTTATTGGAATTAAGAGTTTAGTTCACATCACTTGAATTTTCTAGATACTGATTTTTTTTTGAACATAATTAAGGCAAGTTCAGATCGAGCAGTTTTAATGCAACTTCTATTGACATTTAACAAATTTCAGTCATCATCTACCTCATTCCGATCTCCATAATAGATATGTGTATCTTAAATATGAGAGCTTAGTTTTCAAATCTATTCGAACATTATTATACCCTGAACAGGGTATATTAATTTTGCCACGAAGTTTGTAACACCCAGAAGGAAACGTCGGAGAACATATAAAGTATATATATAAATGATCACCGTGACGAGCTGAGTTGATTTAGCCATGTCCGTCTGTCTGTCCGCCCGTCTGTCTGTCCGTCTGTCCGTCTGTATATACGCGAACTAGTCCCTCAGTTTTTGAGATATCGATCTGAAATTTTGAACACTTCTTTTCTCCCCAAGAAGCTGCTCATTTGTCGGAACGGCCGATGTCGGACCACTATAGCATATAGCTGCCATACAAACTTAACAATCGGAATCAAGTGTTTGTATGGGAAACTCTTTCATTTGACGAGGTATCTTCACGAAATTAGGCACGAGTTATTGCTTAAGGCAACAAATTATTCTCCACAGAAATTGGTCAGATCAGATCAATATATCATATAGCTGCCATACAAATTGAACGTTCGGAATCAAGTTCTTGTAAGGGGCCTTTGTTTTTGTGAAGGGTATTATAGCTTCGGCGCAACCGAAGTTAACGTTTTTTCTTGTTTTTTCCTGAATTGGTACCATATTTTTTCATGTGAATTTTGATCTCAATATGTCAATTAGTCTGGAGACTTTTATCATGAAAAAAAAACTAAATGACGAATTTGATTGGAATTTTGTGTTTTTAATGGAATTACGGCTACGGAAATGTTAAATATGCTACATCAGTGTTTTAGGGAGTCTATTTTATCACGAAGAGTAGTATTTGAGTGACACAAAGCATTCTGTGAAGGTCGTGAAGATATCGAAAACTTGTCTCATGCGAGTCGTCCCTCCACCTCTGTTAACCACGATAACATCGGAAAACCTACAGAAACAGTGCTTGAGAAACATCATGTTGGCATCAGAGATATAGCAGGGGATTGCATCTCTTATGGATCGAGTCCACAATTTTGGTTAATGTTTTAGATATAAAGCGTGGCAATGCTAAACTCGTACCAAAATATCTGAATCTTTTGCAAAAACGACGTCGAGTAGAGGCCGCTTGATAACGTAGTTGGGGACCCTACCTTCAACAAACGCATTATTACTGGTGTCGAGACTTAGGTTTATGAGTATGACGACGAAACTGTCTAATAATCTAGCGTATGGCGCCCCAAAAATGAGCTGAAGGCACCATAGACCACCTCATTCGGGGCTTCAAAAAGTTATATGGTAAATTGGATAAAGTGTTGGCATATATATATAATTGGATAAAGATTTTTGCAGTCTGGGTCAAATTTGATCTGCTGGTATGTACGAATTTCCCAAGTCAAAATTTATTTGAGCACTTTTTACACATTTTTGAGGTTATGTCTGTACCGAAGGTATGTTTTAGAAGAGCCCGATTACGCCTATTTCAGTTGATTGCTTAATTTTCGTTCTCAAATATTACATATTAACATTACAGTCGTACGAAATATTTATCAAATGTTCATTGAAACCACTGTACGTTACTTATGCCTAGGTAAAGGTAGTGGACTGGAGCTCGTATTTAAACTTCATGATACATATAATATTTTTGAATAAAAGTGTAATTTGAGATATATCAATTAGGGGTAGGGGTAGGTGGAGTGGCTATCTGACGACGCACCTAGGCCTATAGGAGGCTCATTGTGATACCACCGGGACTAATGTTCCCTCACTCTATTGTCTCCTATCTGAACCAACATGTGCTTCTGAGCAACTTCCGATTCGCCGTCTAGATATCCTCGACCGATAGTTGCGATACTTTTCCTGTATAGAACCTTACATGCGCATAGAGGGTGTTTTACAGTCTCCTCTGCTTCTACCTCCTGACAGCTTCTGCAATAGTCATTGTAAGGTACACTTAGCCTGTCTACCAATTAGACAATGACCTGTTAGTACTCCTACCAGAGTTCTTATATCGTTCCTTTGGAATTTTAATAGGCGTGTGTGGATCATGTTCGATTCATGCCACGGTTGCCTGCTAGTTGAGCAAGTCAGTGATTGACTCTACGTTTACAAGTTGCTACAGGCATAAAAATTCCCTCTTTTTCAGAGGCTAATTGTAGACAGGTGCCTGTTTAGGCTGGTTCATCTGCTTCACGGTTACCAGGTATATCACTATGCCCTGGAATCCATTGTAGGTTTATCGTGAAGTAGGATGTTAAATCCTCTAATAGATCAAGACATTCTTTAACTATCTCTGATGAAACCATAGGAGACTTCAATGATTTCAAAGCCGCTTGGCTATTCGTATGTACATATATATGCTCCTTGTTGTGAACACACTTTTTGTCAGAACAACAAGGCTTTCTTTGATTGCTCTAATCTCCGTTTGGAAGACACTGCAGTAGTCTGGTAACCGGAAGGCGATTTTGCCGAAAAGACACTACCTGCATGTCAATTACTGATATGTAATATAATCTTATAACTTTTGTTAGATCAATTCGAATAAAGACTAGACCTCACTCTTATAAATTCTATTCTTCTGTACGGCATCTTCAGGAAATTCGGTATAAATGTGACTTGGATAAAAGCACCCTAATAACAAAATTTGCAATAGATTAAGGAGAGTAAAGACATTCACTGACTCTCACCATACTTTTACATACGAACTTTTCTGAATTATCGCAGAACATTTAGTCCTGCAGCATGTAATTTTCGGTAAGTATAAAATTTTTAGCTTTCTTACTTCATAGCATGTGATTTATTAACATTTTATTTATTTTAACACGCTGTTTGTCGCTAGGGTATTATCACTTCCACAATGCTTGCAGTAATTGCAATAACAAACTGCAATGCACTACGGAATTGATGACGCCATAGCGTTGTGCGCATCAATATTATCTCTTTAACTATTATTATTATTATTATCAGCATTAATTTAAACTATTATCGCATAAATTGTATATACTTCATATAATAATCATATTTTATATCATCTTTACTTACGTCTTTTGCGTCGATTTTCATATGGAACATAAATATTTAAGTATAAACAGTCTTCCGATTGATTGCTGAGTAACGGCAGCAGACGTCGCAATTGCGCCAAACGTGCCCGCGGCACTTCTAGCAATGCCTCAGGGCCATTGGGCGGTATGGGCACCGTTTGTGGGCATACGGCCGAGAAGCGATCAGCATTTCTGACATTCTTCCAAGTGGATGGCGTGATGGGTGGCATGAATCTGAAAATAGTGTGTAATGAAAGAGAAATTATTTTTAATATTTTTTGTAATAGTATATGCATATATAAAAAAATTTACATTAAAATTACATTAATAACAATTAATTTCATACATTAATCTACATTAAATAAAATATACCTGATATCTAGATTAGTATAAGATTATATTAAAGGAATGTTCTGGGATATCGAAGCATTAACCGAAGAATATTTTTGAAGAAAAAAATGCTATTGAAGCCGATATTTTAATGAGACCTGAAAGCGACTTTTCAGATATTTAAGCTTATACTGAGGGGTTAGAAGATCTGTGATTCTAAATAAAAGGTAACATATATAATTCCATTTCGACAGAGTGTCCAATGTCTTCGGTCTTAATTAAAACTGACCAATTGTGCTTCCATTATCCTTGAAAAATATTTCTGTTTTCTCATTTCATGATAGGTCTATATTTTCTACTGCTGTTATGGTATGGTAGTTTTTCCAAAATTCTCTAATTGTTTGCGTCTTTTCTATCTATCTATTCGCAGTCCCCGGATTGAAATAAAAGAGCACTAAACCGAATCAGCGTTAAGCCGGGTCTTACTGTATATGTTTGTTTGTTGTTATGTGTCATGATATTAATGTTTCTAAGATTTTCCACACAGATTAGAACTTGAGTATCTTTGTCAATATAAGTATTGGTGCCTATTGAGATACGAGTATCTGACCACAGATAAGACAACTATTACTATTTGTTTTGGTATATAAAATTTATTTGACATCCTTATTACAGTTTGAAACCACGGCTACTTCTCATATCACAACTATGTCAGATTATTTTACGTTTACATTAAATAATCAATGAAATGATAGTCAATGAGGATATCGGAATAAAACTTAGCCCAAACAGTGTTTTGAAGTTGTGGCACGTCCCTTGTGAAAATACATTTTTAAGCCCCCGCATATCGGTTACGAGAACTTCAGTGCCTATAGCTAACTATATATCGAAAATATCGGTAAATTTATAAATGACCTATAATTATGATATTAAGAGATTTTTTTTGTATATAAAGTGCTCTGATATCAAAAACGGATAAAATCCGGTGCCACCATAAACTTAATGTCAATATTTGAGATATTTTAACTAAATTCAGTTATCTTGGACATACTGTAGTACATGCCATAAATGTACGAAATCGGTCGATAAATAACCCAAGCACCCATATAATACATATAATGACCCTCGCCAAATATAATATTTCGGTCAATGTATAAGTTTTCTTAACAAAAATGCAGAGAAATATGCTCTCGAGCAGTGTTCACATCTTGAAGTGAGGCGACTATCGTACCAGTAGCGTAGAATTATCGTACATGAAACGAATTTATCGTACTTTTAAAAATAATGACTATAATCATTAAATAAATCTTATTCAACATAAAATTAATATGCTTACATATGCTCTCTAGTTAATTACTTAAAAACTATTGCTCTGAAATAAAATAATATTTTGTAAATATATTAAAAAATATGAGACAGGCCTGACTGCCCCCAGCCAATTAATTTTTTGCAATATGTTTTTTTTTTGTAGCAATTTTAAAGCAAATTTAGCAAATATTTTAAACAAATTTACAATTAAAATTAGTTCTCTGCCACTCACCTTAAGCTACCGACTGGCGGCGAGGCATACGGTATACCCAAGTAGGCTTCAACCATTGGACTCGAACGCATCACAATGCCGCGCAGCAGACCGTACTTCGTCTTCACCGTATTCGCGCTAAACTTGACGCTGCCGTGAAAACACTCAGTGCCATGCCACAAGGAAGATAACAAAATCAACACAGTGAGTGAGCGATGTAACAACGGTAATGAGCGACACTGCCAACGCCAGCGGCCGACATGAAAGTAATTCGTAATAATAAAATGAAAGTGACAAAAACATTGCAACAACAGCGTTGTGGTGATGCGCAGTGCGAAACTGCAAGTGATATTTGCTATTTTTTTTGCCTCCGCTTGTTGTTGTATTTTTTGTTGTAGCTGTAGCAGCGGTGTTTGTTGTTTCTGTTGTGGCTGCAGTTGCTTTGGTTGTTGGCGCTTTTGTTGCAGCTGCAGCTGCTGTTGTTGTGTTGGCTGGCACTTGAGTTGCGTCTGTGGTTGCGGTTGGGCGCGCATATATGTCTGTGGTCGAGTTGGAGGCTGCGAGGCGAGTAGTGTTGGTGATTGCGACAATGTGTGGCTGTCTAACGGTAGTTGTGTCTGTGCTTGTGACTGCGCTTGTGCGTGCTTAGTTTGTGGCGTCAACTGTAACGGCTGTGAGGGTGTTGTCAGTGACACTTCAGACACTCGCGCTGATGGCGTATTTGTTGTTTTTATTGCTTTTAGCTTCAACATGTGCTTGCTTCGCGCTAAGCGACACCCAACAACAGCCGCTGCAATGACGCTTCTTCGGCAGTTTTGTAAACGCTTATGAAATACACTTGATTGTTGCTTAGGAATTTGTAGAAATCTCTTTAATGATATCAGTCTTATAATGCAAATTCCTTGTATTACTAGTAGTTGTATGTGTAAGTGCGATAAATAGCTAAAGCTGACGCTGTCACTGTCACTACGCGCACAACAACTATGTTTCTTCGATGAGCTATGGCGGCGACTGCGCCATCTGCTTCGTCTTCGTTTTCTACTGTTATATGCTTTTTTGATTGCTGCTGCATTGATCGTTGTGTTTGTGTGTGTGCGTGTGCGTGTGCGCGCGCTGTTGGTGTAAATGAGTTTAGTTGATGGTGCGGGCGAATTCGGTAGATTAGTTTTTGATTTCAGTGCTAGTGTTGTTGTTGATTTTTCTGCAATTGAAGCTGTTGTTGTTGTAGCTTCTGATAATGTTGCTGTTTTCCCAACTTCTACAGCTGTTGTTGTTGTAGCTGCTGTTAATTTTGCTGTTGTTGTGGCAGCTGTCGCTAGAGCTGTTGTTGTTACTGCTGTTACATCTGTTGTTGTTGCAGCTGCCAATATTGTTGTTGTTGTTGCTGTTGCTGCTACATCTGTTGTTGTAATGTTTGATATTGCTGTTGCTGCTGCTACATCTGTTGTTCTAATGTTTATTGTTGTTGTTGTTGCAGCTGCCAATATTCTTGTTGCTGTAATTGCTGCTACTTCTGTTGTTTTAGTTGTTTTTGCTGTTGCAGGTTTTGTTTTTCCTGTTATTTCTGTATTTGCACTCCGCGTTGCAGCAATTTGCATGGTAATGAAGCAGCCGGCAACACGCTCGAAAATCAAACATTTCACCAACAGTAAACTGGCGACTAAATGCTGCTGCAACAACAAGCACAAAAGCAATAACATTGCATGCAATTTGCGCCACTTACTGCCCTTATGTTTTACTTCACAATTATTGTTGTTGTAGTTGCCCTCCGCTGTGTGCTGATTGCTCTTCGTGGTGCTCGATATTCGGTCACAGCTGCCACGGTGACTGATTGGTTTTACAAACACCAAGTCATGGCAGTTGATTTGGGGGACGATGTTTGATTTAAGCACACCAACGCTATAGCTACGCTTGCTGCAGTTTGTTGAGCTGCTGGTGCCACATGGCGTATACGCAATATGGCTTGTGTGCTTGGTACTACCTGAGGTATACGCAACCTCTGCTGATTTTGGTTGACTTGTGCTTGCTGTTGTTGTTGTGGTTGTGGGTGAACTTGCGCCTTTGTTTGTTGTTGTTGTTGTTGTCTGACTAGTGCTACCGCTTGTTGTTGTTGTATTTATAATTGTCACTCTTCTGGCACTACCTTTGCTGCTGCCACTTCCTTTGCTGTGTCTACATGACGTATACGCAACATCAATTGCAGCTGTTTGTTCGTCGTTGGCTCTGCTTTCTACTCTGTCTTCGCTCTTGCTGCCGCCGGCCGTAAAGTAATTAAGTATAAGCATACAGTATATACGCAAGAGATTAAAGTAAATATTTAGTTGTCTGATAGCCGATCGCCAGTCAGCGTTGTATCGTACCGTAGCTGTAGCGTTAAACGGCAACAGCCAATATGCCAGCGCAAGTTGGCGCCACAACCATTGTCGACGCCGCTGCCACAACCAAGTCCAACGCCAGTAGCACAATTCCACTGTGTTGCTGGCGGTGGTACCGTTATTGCCGTTATTGTTGCTGGTGTTGCTGCAATTGCTGTTGTTTTTGTTTTTGTTGTTGTTAATGCTTGTGCCACAGCAACGGCTGTGCTTAATTGTTGAAGCTGCCGCGGTCGCCGCGGTCAAGTCAACTTCATTTTCACCGTTGTCGTGTGTAATGTCAACTTCGTGCGTCGCGCCTTTAACGACATGCTGTCGCCGCGATACTTTGATTTCAAATATTATATAATTTATGCAGTGCGTTCGTTGCGTTCAAAAAATTTCAATATTAAATTTTTAGAATTTTCTTGCTTTGTGTCCTTTGTGTTGTTTTTTTTTCAGTTGGCTTTCCGCTGTTTCCGTTTCGCTGTTGCTGCGTAATTACGGTACTCGTCCGTTGGCAATACTTTTAGTTCAAAATTATTTTCGTTGTGATTTAGTTGTGTTGTTACTGTCTTTTTGTTGTGTTGTTACTGCAAATTGAAAGCGAAAATGAGGGGAGAAGTTATTAGTATAAAACCCGTTGCACTTAATTAAAGAACTTTTTAGTACGCTTTGTTGTTGTTTTATTTTAATTTCAATTTTTTTTTTTAAATTTTTTTTTGTGGCATTTATTTACGCTGCTATTCGCAAGACTAAAGCTAGTTGCGTGTATATGTATGTGTGTAATGTGTATTGCAATTGTTGTTGGTTGTCTATGTTGTTGGTGACACCTTCTCGGCAGCGAGTTTGAGTGCAGACTGTGCGACCGAGATTAGTTGCACCAGCTTAAGTAGCCTCGGCAGCGGCATTTTGGTCGGCATGCGACCGCATAATAGTGCCGTAGCCATCAGCAATGTTTTTAGTTGTGTGCATAATGCAAGACGGTAAGTAATGGGCATATATTATGGGGTGCTGAGCGTAGTTGTGGGAACATGTGGATGTACAAACTATTATACTTATATATATATTTAAGTAGTTGAAGATTTGCATACTTATGTACTTATATACGCAGTACATGCTTACAGAAATGAAAAAATAAAGAACTTTTTGATGGGTCAGTTGCTAGGGTAGCTTTTATAGCATATATAAAAGTCTGATTGGAACAATTTATTCAGAGATTGTACCGTAATTTTTGACAGTAACGCATGCCAAATTTAGTGTAGATATCTTGTTAAAGGTAAAAAGTTTTCAATACAAGGTCTTAATTTTGATTGATCGGTTTGTATGGCAGCTATACGCTATAGTGGTCCGATCTCAGCACTTTATACGGAAATTGTACCATTGCCTTAGGCAATAAACCATGCTAAATTTCGTGCAGATATCTTGTCAAATTAATAAGTTTTCAATACAAGGACTTGATTTTGATAGATCAGTTTATATGGCAGCTATACGCTATAGTCGTCCCGATATCAGTGTTTCCGACAAATGAGCAGCTTTTTGGTGAGAAAAAGACGTGTGCAAAATTTGCGATCGATTTTTCATAAACTGTAGTACTAGTTCGCGTATTTACAGACGAATGGACGGGCAGCCAGACGCACATGGCTAAATCTACTGAGTTCAGCACGCTGATCTATTATATATACATATTATGGGGTCTCCAACGTTTCCTGCTGTGTGTTACACACTTCGTGGCACATTTAGTATAACCTGTTTAGGGTATTAAAATGCTTACACACAAACTTCTTCAAATGCTTTTTTACACACTTACATACGCATGAACGTCCAAAGTTAGTAACTTATATATTTACATACACACACATTTAAACAAGGCACACTCAAACACATAAACTCAATACTTATATAGGTACATCAACAGCACTTGCGCTTTGCCATGCAAATTCGCTCTTGGTAAGCTTTGTGCGCGTGCTTAGCAGCTTCGCAGTATATGCTCGGGTTTCTAATTGTGCTCTTAATTAAAACAAATAGTTCATTTGTCTACACAAATTGGCATTAGAAATCGTCTATAAGTTGGGGGTATTTTGAAAATGCGTTAAGCTAAATTAGAAACAACAAAGGTGCGCCTAAAAGTATGCTACAACTGCGCTGCCACCGTAACTGCTTTTAGGCGCTTACTGAATAATTTTTGCAAAAACATTTGTGAAGGAAGGGCTGGAGTTACGCAATAGTTTGGCTGGTGTGCGATTTATATAATGTTAACATTAACCGTTGTTTGGTAAACCAAAAAACACTGAATATTTAGGGTTGGGGTTACTTTTCAAGGTTTTGCCGAAGAAGCAATGTTGTATTTGGCAATAAAGCTGATCGTAGATGTATGCTATGTTCGGAACAATAACGCAAAGAACAATTGCTTTGATAGCTTTGCCAAATGTAACGAACCTAAACAGCTTTCTAACCAAAAAATAACCACAAAACAATTTTTTGAAAGATGATATTATATACTAAATGGCGGCTGAATAAAAAATATCCTCGCGGTTATTAAATATATGCTATTTATTCTCAATACTTAGAATTTTAGGCAGACTGGCATTCAAAGCTGTCCAAGCGAGATCCTTTCTTGGAACCCACATTTTGAATAAACTGAGCCACCCTTAAACAAGATACAGTATTTTAGACGTGTGTGGTCTAGAATCATGACAGTAAAGGGTAGAACTTCAATTGTAGGAAATATTTCTGGAAAATCTTTTTTTTTTGTTTTTTAGATCATCCTAAAAATAAGTCTGTTATCACAGCAGGTCGAAAAATGCGATTGAGTAGGTCAGTTAATAAGATATGTTGTTTCTGGAACAGATGAACAAATATATAAGCACTGTTCTATCATATTAACAAAATTCTCAGAATTAATAAAGATAATATTCTTGGTCCTACTATTAATAAACTTAGCATACACGACGAAACTTTTGCCATTTCCGAGGCGTAAAACATAGCTTGCTCCAGTATTAGATACCAACATATAACATACACGAAGCTACATGGCTGGCTTCGGATTGAAAAACTGGAAACTAAATTGATCGTAGCTCGATGGGAATGGTAAGTTTCGTCAAATAAGCTCATCGAATTTACAGAGAAAATTCTTTAAATATTAGCTTAATTGCTTTAAAACTATATACTTGTATAGTACCAAGATTGTTCGTTCAGCATAACTGTTGGATCTAAAAAAATCTCTCCCAGCAGCGATATAAAAAAAGGCTCAAAATAGGTATCTTACTGCCCTTCGTAGACAGTTGTTTAGTTCGTTATAAGAGAGTATAGAAAAATTTTGCCATAAATACCAAGATTATCAGAAAGATTTTCTCGAGGTACCATTGAAATTTCATACAGAGTCCGAGAGAGATGGTTTCTCGGGAGGTGTCTTTTCGAAAATGTACAATCTAGAGACCCATTTTAGTTCGTCACAAAGTTTGTAATACTTAGAAATGAACGTCGGACTACATATAAAGTATATAAATGATCAGCGTAACAAGCTGAGTCGATTTCGAAATGTTTATCTGTTCGTCCGTCTGTATACCATATACGCGAATTACTTGTAGTCTCTCAGTTATTGATATGATATTTCGATCTGAAATTTTGCTTACCTCCTTTTCTTCCTAAGAAGCTGCTTATTAGTCAAAATCGCTGATATCGGATCACTAAAGAATATAGCTGCCATACAAACTGAATGATCGGAATAAAGTGTTTGTATGGAAAACTTTTTTATTTGATAATAAATTAGGCATTTATTTGATATCGAATGATGGTATAGGTTACTGTTCAAATCAATTCTACAATTTCCGAAGAAATTGTTCAGATCGGACCACTATAGCATATAGCTAAGAAAAAATTAGAATAGGGTGCTTTTAATGATTTTCGACATTTAAATATGAATACAAAATTTAAATTTTCTTCGCATACGGAAACCCAGCACAATTGTTTATTGGGTAACCCAGCATGTTTGCCATGCTATGCAGTTTATAACTGTATTTTTGTATGTATGTGTATATGCGTAAGTGTGCATATCGAAAAATCCATCTTCATTCATTTCATAAAAGGCCATAAAAGCTGATAAAATTGCTGGCGACATTTTTGAAGAAAAGCGCACGCACGCACACACACACACAGCCTCAAACAGAACAAGAACAACAGCAACAACAAAAGTAGACACAAATGTCATTCATGTTTGTGCATAAATATTACAGCACTAGGAAATGCAAACATTTCCGTTTTACGTTAGAGAAAAGTGATTGCGCACAAACTACTTATACGCACGTACAAATGCACAAACCCACACATATATACTTATGCATATGTTGGAAAAATAAAGATACATTTAGTTTCCATTCAACTGCCTTTGCGTTGGTGTGTGTGCTTAATGCAAGTGCTTGCCAAGGTGCATATGTAAATATTGACGTACATATTGTTACAATCATACGCATACACATGTGTGTGTGTGTGAGTATTTGTATTGTATGTGTGCCTATCGTTGGCTGTTTGTGCACCTATTTGAATGATACTCAAATAAAGTGAAATACCTGTCCATCTCAATGTCCATCAGCACGTTTGTTCGCCGCTCAATTGCAAGCGTTAGTCGGTGCTTTATTCCATTATAACGAGGGTGGTTGGATAAGCGCAAGGTTTTATGCAGTTTGCGTCTGTAGACCTTAAACAACATTAATAGGGTAGTCTAGTGTAGAATTTCAGAAAAATCGTTTTTTTTCGTATTTTTAAAGTTTAACTATTTAAGAATATGCCTACGAGATGATTTTTGAAAATTCAAATTATTTGCGGAGATATAGACATTTTACTGACCTGGCCTCCAAATGGTTTCGCCTGGGTCTAATCGAACAAAAGACTTTACTGAAACTTTAAATGCGTTGTTCTCAGATCACGATTCTCGAGTTCTACCGGACCTACTTATTTGAAATTTTTAGAGTATTTTCTTTATAGGCCTAGCCTCATCCCCAAATTTAAATTTTTACTATATTTAAAAAATACGAAAATATAAAAAAAATGGTAAAAAAATTGTTTTTTTTTTCAAAAATGTCGCCATTTCGTAAAATGTTTTTTTTTGTTTACTTATCATACAATTGCGACAGCATTGCAGATTGATAATCCTTTTTTTCATTTTAGATGTCTAGGAGGGTTGAAATCATGGGTATGCTCATGCGCCAATTTTTTGAGATCCCCATTTCATCAGCTGCCATTTTTTTTAAATTTTTAACTTTTTTTAAAAAAATTTTTTGTACTCCTGTAACACTTATAAAAAATCTTTTTTTTACGAAACTTTAATAATTACCTAAAATTAATGTCTCTAGACTAGAACACCCCCTTAAGACCTAGCTATGAAAATTGGTTGAAAATCGCCGAATTGGCATCAGAGAGATAGCAAATGATCTCAACATATCTTATGGAACCCAACATTTTTTGGTTAATGTTTTGGGTATGAAGCATACCATGTACCAAAAGACTTGATCGAATCTTTTGAAAAACGACGTCGAATAGCGGTCGCAAAAGAAATGCTTGACAACGTAGCTAAGGACCCTACATTCATCAAACG